GTGGGAGGCCCAGGCAGCGGCACAGGACGATGCTGAGCAGAGGCGAGAGACACCTGTCGAAGACTGGTTTATGATGGACACTACTACTGACGAGGATGACGGTGACTGCGATATGATGGATGGTGACAGTGATGATGACGATATCGATCCCGCTGTGCTATATGGTAGTGGGCCTGTCGGTAGTCACACGGTCAGGCAACAGCAGCAGCAGAGTCGAAGACCAGCACCCAATTTCGCACAGAGGAGTTTGGTGGCCTTAGAGTTGGGCAAGAACAGTAATGATCTCTATGAGATGTGCTTGGATAAGCAACTACTGGACGCTTATAACAACGCCGCTGCCAACCATAGAGTTCCCCCTTCACTGGATTCGCCCACTAAGGTGGAGAAGAAGTCTACTACTAAGGGTGTTAAATTTAACACTGGTGGTGCTGTTCGTTTCTTCGACACCGATGCGGAGCTCCAAGACCCGTGCTCATGCGAATTCCCTATACAGGTAGCAGCCTCGTAGAGAGAGGATAATTTTTAGCGGATGGTGTTAGGTGAAAGACTTCGACGGTCAGTCGTGTCATCATGCTAACTACATTGGCATGTCTCGAGCAGCTGCTGCAACAGCGGCAGCCCAACAGGAGCAGCAGCAATATATGAGCACTCTTAGCGACTACAGTTCCGACGAGCTCAAGGGTAATAGTAGTAAAGTCGCCTCGTGAGTCGTCATGACAGTTCCATTGCGCTCAGGTGTAGCATATCAGATGTCGAAGCCTCGAGGAGTCTGGCCTAGACAGTAGCTCCTGTGGGGACACTGTGTGGTATTTGGCGGTATTCGAACCTTGTCGAATGCATGTTACAGTTGAAGTTATTGTTGTTCGAAAATTGAAAAAAAAGGAGTCAAAGTTTGTTTAGCTGAATTGGCGACAATCCCTAATCCTTGGTCGTCCATTGTTTCGACCTATAATGATATTATTTCGCTCTTTAGTAGCTGCTACCATCTTTAGCACGCATTCAGCGGCTGAGGCCGGTATGTGTTGTCGTGAGGTAGCTAATTAAATTAGCACATCAACAGTTCTGCAAATGAGCGGTAGCAGCCCCCGCGCTTTGCCAGTCGCTTTGTCTCCTCAGTGAGGAAGAGAAAAGTCTGGTTAGATACTGTCGTCAATTTTTAGCGAGCCGACTAGTTCGGCGACCCGTAAACTATGTGACTTTCATTATCCTATTATCGTCTATATTCTCCCTTATGTTTACAGTCATCATTCCCATTATTTTGGTGGTCACTCGTCGTCCCTACACCCTATCGCAGCTGGAGTAGTGGACATCTCTCTGCCTCCTATACGTTTACTACTACTAGTGATGACTTGTGTAGCACTACTAGTGTATCATTGCTTCGATATGGTTAGTCAGTGGGGCTCGCGTTCGATCGACGCTGCCTTCTCTACATTGACGGATGATGGCATCAGTGTATGAATAGCGTTTCTGCTTCCGAGCACCCTACCGGTGACGAAGTTTCCAAGATATTGCGGATCATTGATCATTTTGTTGCGTTACATGGTCATTTGGGAGTGCTTCGGTTTTCGACATAGAAGCTCACACTGCTCACTACCGGGAAATGGCAATGTAAACAAATTTCGAGGAGCACTGGATAGCAAAGGACATTATTCTCATGCAGTTGTAAAACGAGAAGTGCTTCATAGCCTGTGAACTCGTGATAGGACTGTGTTTTGTGGTAGTAGACTGTTACTAGCGATCCTGTTGCAACACTCCGCACTGTTACACTAATGTAGAGTACTCAAGTCCTGTTATTGTAGGATGCATGGGCGTTGAGTCACTCGGGACAATGCCTTGGGGACAGATTGAAACAAGATCCTTGATGCGCACCGCGAAGGATTTGTGCGCATGCGTGCAGGGATCTTCCATTCAAAAGTTTCATTATCTATACAGTCTCCTTTTTCATTTACAGTTTTATCTCTACCACCCATTCATTGATTTGTCGCGCTTGTTCTGGATGTTCGTATGCAGTTTAATTTTTCGTGCTCACTCGCGTACCGTGTCATCTATTATGGGTTCCGCTCGTAAAGTTAAGGTTTCGATCCAGTACTGTGGTGGCTGAGGTTACGGCAGGTGAGAGGCAGTTGTGTGTCTGCTGTCCTCCTCATGTCCTCAGGTATTATAATCAAGGGGTGGCGATGTTGAAGGAGAAGCTTGGTGACAAGCAGGATAGTGTCGAGTTCATCCCCAAGAAGGACCCAGGTGAGTCCTACGAGTCTATATGCAACTCTCCTCAGCTCATTTGATGAGCTACCTCTCGTCTGTGTAGGTGTCACTGGAAACTTTGAGGTTGCTGTTGACGGTACTATTGTCCATAGCAAGCAGAACGGCGATGGCTTCCTGCACTCTAATCCGGTACAGCTACATTTCTGCTTGGACCGGACTTATTCAGATTTTGTCTTAGGCGTCATTCGAGAAGGTGGCGTCATCAACTCTGCAATCCCTGGAGGGTTAGGCCTATCTAATCAACCCTTGTCTGATGCCATGCGATGGTGTTGTGTCTGAACGAATGAAGTCGTGTGTTAAAAGCGTCCTTTCGCCTCACATGCACTGATAGCTTCATCACAACGCTGTTCGCATTGACGTCAGTACTCAGTGGCTCATATTTTTTTAAGTGATGATATGTTACTTTCCCGTGCTTGGTTAAGTGGTGTCAATTAGCGATGGAACCACCCGATTGGGGCGTCTCGTTTTCTACTTGGTTTTCCATTTTGCGTTTGTGAGGAATTAGTATTGTACGCTGTGTATGGTATGTGAGGTATCAATGACCCTTTTTTGAAGACCCAGCTTGCTAGTGAACTAATCTCATTGTGCTTTGTTGACTGTCTGTTAGCGATCTCAATGCCTTGGGTATCTCCCGCGGTCGAACACTTCCGGCCAGCTAGGGAGTATCTGAAGGATGTTCTAGGGGAGGAGGATGCAACTGGGGTTAAATACATCGTTGGATGGCAAGCGAACGACGATGTTCAGGGTGAACCCTTTCTATTTCGTTTGATGCGTTGATGAGTCTCCAGATTGCTCGATCAGGCTCCCAAGGACATTTGACTCCATTCGATGAATTCAGTCCAGTAGAAGCTTGGAAGACCGATATGAGCATCTACGAGTTATTCATGTGTAGTGGGTAAGTTGGGGTAGAAGTCATGTTATCCATTGCGGTGATGCTTCAAGCCGAATGGTGTCTTTCCAGATGTAAGCGTCTTGCCTCACCCTCGGAGATAGATGAGGAGGTCGTGAGCTACTACTGTACAAACTGTCTGGAGGTGCTGCCCCAGTCAGCAGTGACCGCACATAAAGGA